GGGAAGGATCAATAGTCGGCAAATTATATTATTCCCCTCCTCCTTTTTTATAAGGCAGAGAGAAAAAGTTTTTCTTAATCATATTTACAAGTTACTTCATTAAATTTTAAGCATGAATGTACTATTTTATCCTTTATTATTATAGTGTAGATAGTTATTTTGTTTTTTGAAATGTGCATATATTAAATAGGAATAAAGTTGAAAAGGTTATTATATTTTAATGAAGAGTTAATACAGTTTAATATTTTTCTTGATTTGTATAAAACATGCATGAATAGGATTAGAGGAGTACATGTTTGGAAAGGTACATAAAGATAAGCATACGTTGACAAAAGCAACAAAAATAAAAGTCCAGAAAAGGATTCATAAAAGTTTTAACATACAAATTTCAACTTTGATTTTTTTATACTTGATTTTTTTTATTTTTAAATATGCAAAACTATTTAATTTTAAAATTTAAAGAAAATAAGACAGTCATAATCTTTGCGCAATAAAGGCCCCAACTTCTTGATGTAGTACAATAATTAATATGTTGATAACAACAACACAAAATTATGGCTCTCTTACAAAAAAACAAAAAAATAAACTATACAAAATTATAGCTGTAATAATCTGGCAGGTGCACGGGTCTCGGGTCTTTTTTTTTTTTTAATAAGTCAGAATATACTCAAATCATTTTAGGTTTGAGACTAATATCTGCTTGGTTAGGAGTGTTAAGATTAAAGCCCTCTCAACAATTGTGCTTCTTAGGATTTAAACTTGTGTTCTCCTCCTTACAGGGGAAGATAACTTACCATTTCAATCAGCAGCTTGTTAGGAAAAAAATATTTTTAATTTTGATTGAAAATTTGACCTTTTAACAGCCCCAATTCATTGCAATTAATTTGTTATTTTATATAAAAATGCGTTCAAATATTTCATATTAATCAAGCGCATAATTAAAATTGATACACATGAATGCCTACTGAAGTAATAAAAAAAAATGATTTGGAATACATTGCGAAGCAGGTCGTGGTGCTTCAAAGCACCGCAAAATTCCTATATAAAGGGTTAGGGCTAAAGCCTTCTTCGTTGCGCATGCAATAGGCTTCGTATTATATATCTTTCTGGTTTCTATCAAAAGAGAATTAAGATGTCTCATCTTGGGAAGACCGAAATAGACGTCCACCTGAATGCCTCTGCCCAGAAGTTTCATGAAATGTTCACCAGCAATCCTCATCACATAGCCAACATTAGTCCTGCTAAAATCAAGTCTGTGACTAAGCTTCAAGGTGATTTCGCAAAAGCCGGCTCCATCGTTGTCTGGAATTACGTTCTTGGTAAGCTCAAACTGTTATTTAGAGAGATACTACATATATTTACGGACTTCCTTTTGTGTGTATGTGTGAAGCTGATAAAAATAAATGATTGAAGAATTTCTGTTACTTATTCTTATCACTTACTCACCACTGTAATCCTCTGATATAACAGATGGGAAGGAGGGGGTGGCAGGACGTGATCGAAGCTGTGGATTCAGCTAAGAACCTGATAATTTTCAGGGTGATAGAGGGGGATTTCCTGAAGCATTACAAGAGCTTTAAGTTCATAATTCAAGTGAGCCCAAAGGCAAAAAGAAGTGTCGCTCACTGGAGTCTTGAGTATGAGAAGTTGCATGGGAGAATCCCAGATCCACACACTCTGATGCAGTTGGTGACAGAACTGAGCAGAGAAATCGATGCAAGCCTCACCCAGGGACAGGCACAGGAAGAACAGTTATTGGGGAAGGCGGGAGTTGATGTGCACATTAATGCTTCTGCCGACAAGTTTCATGAAATGTTCAGCAGCAAGCCACACCTTATTCCCAATGTTTCTCCTGCTAGAATTAGAGATGCTATTCTTGAAGGAACTTGGGTCAAGGTCGGTTCCGTCATTACCTGGCATTACGTCCATGGTACGTAACTTCTCAACCACCTCTCTCTCTTTACGCACAGTTAATTCAGTTTGTTAAACGTGGCCCAATTAAAAAAATATTATTCAACTAAAACTCATACATTCTCTAATCTCTTTACAAACCAATCGGTCCACACATATATAGGCCTCATAATAGATACAGGAAATGGGCTTTGAGAATAAGCCCAATAATAACTTAAGCCACTACTACAAAAAAGAGTATTCACGACGCTAATTTACGACGGTTATTAGCAAAAACGTTGTAAAAAATATGACGGTGGCATTTCTGTAATTATAGGCGGATTTTTAAAGGCGGTTATTTAAAAAACCGCCGTTAAAAGTCTATCAGAATTTTAAAATCCATCGCGCGATAGTTTTCACTTTTCAGATTCAAAGCTCATAGTCCCCCATACCACATCCTCACTCGATTTTCTCCCTCCTCCTATATTTGTCAGCGTTTATCCATTGCCTCTATCATTTCCGCCATGTTCTTCCATCACTGTTGCTGTTGCTGTTGCCGTCACCATCGCCTCATCCTCTTCATTCTTATTTGTGAGTTTTTCACCTCCATTCTTTCTGTGGATTTTGCAGTTTTTGTGGTTTGATATGATTATTTTCTTTAGTTAAAAATAAGATGCTTAATATGAGTTTAAAGAGATCTGATTTTTAGCAGATCTGAGTTTTTTATTTTATCAGATCTGAGTCTTTGATTTTACTTTTATTAAATCTTAGTTGCTTTGATCTGGTGGCCGAAGGTGAAGCTAAGTGACGCTATGAAGGCAGGAAAGAATCTATATTTACTCTATCAAAATGCTTTTAACTAGCGAGAGATTTCCTTTGAGGCTTTGTTCTCCCGTTCTCTCCTGATCAGTAAGATGAAACGTAGCTTAAAAGAATAAAATTTTTTCATGGCGGTTATTTATATAACCGCCGTGAAAAGTCACATATCACGGTGGTTCTTAAACCGCCGTGAAATCCTCTACATTTTACGTCGATGGCATAAACGTCGGTCTCAAAACCACTGTAAAAAGCTTATTTTAACTGCCGTTAAATGTATTTTTTGTAGTAGTGAGCCTAATACAGAACAAAATGGAATTCTAACACTCCCCCTCAAGTTTGGAACTATATATATTTATAGTTCCTAACTTGCTCAACATTTTTTGTTGACACTCCTGTCCTACTGCTTTAGTCAGAATGTCTGCCTCCTGATCGCCAGTGCTCACATGATACAAGCTGATTAATCCATTCTGCAATTTCTCTCAAACAAAGTGGCAATTGATCTCGATATGCTTTGTCCTCTCATGAAACACTGGATTTGATGCAATATGTTTAGCAGCTTTGCTATCACAAAAGATCTTCACATGTTGCGTATGACACACATTCAAATCCCCAAGAAGTCCTTTGACCCAAACTATTTCTGACACAGTAGCTCCAAGTGCTCTATACTCAGCCTCCGCTGATGATCTTGATACTGTAGTCTATTTCTTAGTCTTCCAGGTAATCAAAGAGTCTCCCATTTTCAGCAAATATCCAGTCACTGACCTCCTTGTAGTAGCGCAGGCTCCCCAATCTGAGTCACAAAAACAAGTAATCAGCAAGTCTGTATCGGAGCTAAGCAGAATGCCTAGTCCAAGATTCCGCTTCAGATATTTCACTACTCCCAACGCTGCCGCCCAATGAGCCTTGGTTGGAGTCTGCATAAACTGGCTAAGGACCTGCACAGAAAAACTGATATCAAGCCTAGTTATTGTCAGATATATCAATCTGCCTATTAACCTCCTGTAGCGTTCAGGTTCTTTTAACAGGTCTTGATCATCATCCTTTCCTTTCTCATAGGCTCACAGCTTGACATTTTGTCCCATTGGGACTGATAGTGGCTTACATCCACTTAACCCTGCATCAGCAATTAAATCAAGCGCATATTTTCTCTGTGACAGAATGATTCCCTTTTGGGATCTAGCTATCTCTATTCCTAAAAAATACTTTATTTCTCCAAGATCTTTAATCTTAAATTGTTTATGCAAGTAATCCTTTACTTCCCTTATTCTGTCCTCAGAATTACCAGTCACCAGTAAGTCATCAACATAAACCAGAATCAAAACAAATTCTGTGTCAAATCTCTTGATGAACAAAGAATAGTCATGTTTACTTTGAACAAAACCACCAAGCCTTAAAGCAGTGGTTAACTTAAAGTTCCACTGCCTTGAAGCTTGTTTAAGTCCATACAAAGATTTTTTTAATTTGCAAACCATGTTCTCCCCCTTATGCTCAAAGCCCTGTGGATTTGACATATAAACTTCATCATCTAAATCTCCCTGTAAGAATGCATTATGGACATCCATTTGAAATAAATTCCAATTATTTACAGCAGCTAATTTAAGCACAATTCTCACAGTTATCATTTTTACCACAGGAGAAAAAGTCTCATGATAGTCAATTCCTTCTCTTTGGCTGAATCCTTTAGCTACAAGTCTTGCCTTATATTTATCTATGGTTCCATTAGCTCTATACTTGATTTTATATATCCATTTGCATCCAATAGGCTTCTTCCCTTTGGGAAGAGGCACTATATCCCAAGTTTATTATCTTCTAAAGCATTCATCTCATCTTTCATGGCCTTAACCCAATTAGCATTCTTCACAGCATCAAAGTAAGTAGTAGGTTCAACATTAGAATCAATAGCACATAAAAAATAAAGATGAGAAGCAGAAACATGCTTGTAAGCTTCTAGGCAATGGAACAAGAAGCTCACCCAATCTCTTGTCAAAGGTGGTTTTCAACAAAGTAAGCATGATTGTGCTTTATTCCAAAAACATTCTAAATCTAGTACAGTTTTCTTACTTGCTTATGTAGATGACTTAATGATCACTGGTACTAGTATACAATTCATTAATGAGGTTAAGTCTTTTCTGCACAAGGAATTTAAAATTAAAGATCTGGGTGATTTAAAGTACTTGTTGGGACTAGAAGTTTTCAGATCTGAACATGGTATTGTTTTGGATCAAAGAAAATATGCAACTGAACTTGCTGACTAAACAGGTTTAGATGAAGCACAAAGTGTTATAACTCCTATGGAACAAAATTTGAAACTCACAGCACAAGAGACAACAGATGATTGTTACATCAGTGACCCTGGGGTTTACGAAAGGCTTGTTGGTAAGTTGTTGTATCTTACTTTGACCAGGCTTGATGTTTTGTTTGCTGTGCAGGTATTGAGTCAATTTATGCAAGAACCCAAGGAGTCACACATGAAGGCAGCACTAAGGTTGATCAGATATGTCAAGGATACCTTAGGTCGTGGAGTTTTTCTTTCAGTCAACAGTTCTAGAAATATGGAGTGTTTGTGCGATTCAGACTATGGTGCCTGTGGGGATTCAAGGAGATCAGTGACTGGTTTTGTAATAAAGCTAGGAGGTTCACTTATTTGTTAGAAGTGCAAGAAGCAGAGTATTGTCTCAATCTCATCAGCAAAAGCTGAATACAGGGCATTGAGAATGGCGGCTGCAGAAATTACTTGGATTGTGGGATTGATGAAAGAACTACAAGTCTATGGAATTAAACTTGTAACAGTATATTGTGATAGCAAATCTGCTATTCACATAGCCAATAACCCGGTTTTCCATGAGAGGACTAAACATATAGAAATTGACTGTTATTTTATAAGAGAGAAACTCCTAGCAGGAATGATTAGTTTCAAGCATGTTAGATCAGAAGAACAGCTTGCTAATATTCTGACCAAAGCTCTCGGTGGACCACAACATGAATATATTTTAAGCAAGTTAGGAACTTGTGAATATAGAGTTCTTAACTTGAGGGGGAGTGTTGGAAATATTCAGTTGTTATATAATGTTAATTAGGATTAGTTTAATTTATTAGTCCAGTTATATATATTTTGTAGTGAGTAGGTGGTTTTCTGTTACAGTCCCTTCTTGGGCCTTCGATGGGCTTGTTGCCTATATATACTTGGGTTGTAGCCACTTTGTGTGAGAATCAGTTTTTCATCGATACAAAGAAATTAGTCATATATTTTTCTGGCTGGTCCATTTCATCAATCTCAATGGTCACTTTCCTTGACAAAAAGGAGCATGTTTTCTTCAATGCTCTTGAATATCGTCAAGCTGAGATCTTTAACCTCCTCCGTGGGTTTCACTTTAGGAATGTGGTAGCAGCAATGTTCACTAAGAATAAAAATAACTTGCTACACACAGCAGCCAAGTTGGCTCCTGCTTTCCCACTTAACCACATCCCTGGTGCTACTTTGCAAATGCAAAGGGAATGGCAGTGATTCAAGGTTAGAAGTTAAATTAGATGCTTTTCTGTGTGTGTATGAAGGAGATTAATATATAAATGAAAATCATTAAATCATGCAGTCCCCACCTATTTGTACCTAATGGTTAGCAAAGGAGAGATTGAGTTCAACAGGAAATGAAGGAATAACTGCAATAGCTCAGGTGTAACAAATATTTTACTATGCAATTTATCACCACTTTTTCTTTTGAATATAGGCAGTAGAGAGTGTGGTGAATCCTGAAATCGAGTTTCGTCTAAACAAAGAAGGATTGAGTTTGAACTCATTCTAGTTCCATAACTAAAACCTCAATTTATATATCCAATTGAGTTTCTCACTTTATCTAATCGTAAATATCAGGCGTGGCTCAAAACAAATAAAAAAGATTTAAGAAAATGATGGTAAGTGGTTTCGCCCCCCATACAGATAAGAACGCAAGTTTGATTTTTAAAAAAGAGCACTTGTCGTAGAGGAGCTAACCCATTAAATGACGCATTCTATTTTCTCGAGCCCAAACTAGTCGGTTACTCAGTTACTTGCCCCAAAGAAGGTCAAGGCCCAGAAAAGATGCCGGATACCAGGTGGTTGGGATTTCCCCTTATCACCCAAAAAAAAAACGTATTGGGCTTTATTGGAGCTTGACAAACTCGACTATTTTTATATATCTTGGTATCTTTTATATGGATTTTGTTAACTTAATTGGTCCCTTTTTGCCTTAATTGATTTTTCATTGATTTAATTTATTTTATTTTGAATTATTATTTTATAAGGGCAAAATTGTCATATTTTGGTTTAATTGTGAGTTAATGCTACCTTATTTTTGAATTTTGTTTACAGGTTTTTGAAGATTTAAAATAAAAATAAAATAAAATAAAATAAAAAGAAAAGAAAAAGAAGAAAAAAATTAAAAAAAATAATATAATAATAAAAGGGGAGCAAAACGCAACGTTTTGCCCCCAACCTAATATCCAATATTATCATCTTCTTGGGCAAGTGGACACAGAATGCGGGCGGCGTGAACAAGACCCCACTAAACCTATTATTCACACATCCACGAGCACATGACAGACAAGTAAGCAAGCAGCGGCGTGAGAAAATAAAAAGGAAAAACACGAGCACGCACACGAGGAGGCGGGACGCAAGGCAACAGTGGGCGGCCAAAAAGAACAAGAAACGCAAAGAGAGAGGCCGAGCATTCAAAACAAAGGCGAGAGGCACGAACAGAAAGAGCAAACCAGCGGCGTGAAGGAAGAGGATTCAACGTGAGCTTCCACAGTGAAATCACACCCCCAGCATTCATCTTCTTTGTTCTTCATGGCTGAACCGCATTGGTTTGTTGGAGCTGTGGTTGTGATGGTTAAAAGTAGCTAAATCCTCCAATTCTCTAGAACAATGTTTATGGCTTGAACTTGGAGCTTCAAAGGGGAGTTTCAGCTCTTCCAATCTTTATTTTCTACATTGTAATTGTGATTTCTAGGTCTTAGAATGAATTTTATAATGTTTGAATGTGCTGTGATGATTTATATTTGTATTGAGATTGGTTGTAGCTGCTGGAATCTTTGATTAGCATTTAACATTATGCTGTGATTAGCTTTAATTTCTTTACATTGTACTGGGTCAGACTATGTTTTGAAATTATTGTGAATATTCAGTGGTAATTCAAAGTGGCTTGGTTATTGGACTGAAAATGTTAATTGCTTTTCCTTGATTCTTTTTGGCTAATTGTGCTGAAACAGTTTAATTGTGAGTAATTAATATGCAAGGTGGCCCTTAGAGTCTTTTGAATTTAGCTAACTCTCAAATTAATTGAAGTAATGATAACCTAAATCATTGTGCTAGAGGATTGTTTTTCCATTTCCCGTCACTTGTTAATTCACTTTGCTTATTTCATTCATATCCATTTTATAAACTAGAAATCCAAAAATTATTTATTCATTTTGCATCCTTTTAAATTTTGCCAATTAGTTAGTTAAAAAGAAAATTAATTCCTTTTCAAGTCAATTCTTTATTTTTGATACTTAGTTTGCTTAGGAATTCAAATAAAGGCTCCTCAAAGTGAAACGACTTGAGTTTTGCACTATATTGCATTGCTTGGATTTATTTTTGATTGGGAACCCCAAGGCGAACGACAAAAGGCTCTCATCAGAGCTCATCTCCAAAATCTTAGGGCTCTTTGTTTTTTGTTTTTTTATTTTCTTGTTCCTAAAACAATTATATAAAATTATTTCTAAAACAAATTTTGAGAATGAAAAAAAAAAGTTTGAATAATTATTTTAAAAAAATCATATTTAAAACAAAGAATATAAAAAATCACATAGGCAAGAAAGGAACAAGGTTTCTCCAATTTCTCCAAAACGAAAAATTAACAAATGTAAAAGATAAAAATAAAAAAATCTACAAATTTCTTTATTTTTTAGTTTTTAAAATTACTGTTTTTTAAAAAAGATCAACAAAAAACAAGTTACTAAACAAGTTTTTTGACCTTTATTTTTAAAAACAAACAATTATTTTTAAAATAAGAAACCAAACAAGATCTTAATTTTCATAATTTTCAAAAATAAATTTAATTATAAAAAGTTCTAATAATAACTCAACAGTATAAATTTGTTGTCATAATCTATATTGAAATTTATCCTAGCATATTTTTCAGTTGTATGTTATGGGAATTTTAGATGATTAAATTCCTTTCTTAAAATTTTATAATAATTTCCCCTAATATTTTAGATTTATATTGTATAAGGGTATGATCCATGTTTAACAGATATAAAATGGAAAAAGGAAAAAAATGGTACAATTTTATTTCAAACTCAAAACTAAAAAAGATTGAATATTAATTTTGAACTCACTTTAAATTGGAATCAAATACTACCTCTGCTATTAAGTATGAGAATTAATTTTCAGTGTAATTTATGCTGCATACTAGTTTTTATAATTAGAAACTACTACCTCCGTCTTTTATTATAAGATTCAATTTTTTGAATGAGTTTGTTTCTTTTTATAAGATCCTTTTTGAGTTTGTCTGAACATTTAATACATTGTTACCTATTTTACCCCTAATTTAATACATTTAATATATTTTTTTCTTCATTTATCTCACTGTTACTCTTTTACATTTATCCATTTATATATAAAGATATATTTGGAACAAAAATTGTATTTGTTACATATTAATTGTTTTTAACTAAATTTAATTGTTTTCTTAAACTACATAACTTAGTTCAAAGGATTTTATAATAAAGGATAGATAGAGTGACTTACTTGATCCTAATATAGTGTTTATTTGGAATAGTTTATGAATAACATTTTAATCTTGATTTACGGAATACAAAATAAACATGTAAAAAAATTATATCGATTTATATAAAATGTGACTATAAATGTCTTTAAACTTTTTTTTTTTTAAAAAACAAGCCTGTGATTGCCCCAAAAAAAACATGTCTCCAAGTCCAATCAAATCAAATCAAATATAAGTGACGTCACATGTTTCACGTGCAAAACGAGACATCGAATGGTAGATAATATTAGAAGTGGTTCTGACTTTGGACCCCGTCCTAATCATCTCGGTGGATCAATTAATTTCCCTGATTCCACTAATTCAATTCTAAGAGCAGGTCCCATTCAAGCTGTTTTCCGCCAGCTAGCGTGTGTCTCTGGCCTTTTTCCTTTTTTTCCCCCTTCTTTTTCAAAATTTTTTTATTTTTTATTTTTTAAGGAGTGTCTGAATCATAAAAAGGAAAAATAACAGATAAAGAATATGGAATATATGATATTTCAACTTGGGAAGTTAAGAAAATCTAATAACAGAGAGGGAAGTCCTTCCCAAATTAAAATTTTGACTCAATAAAATGACAAAAATACCCTTTATTTTTTTTTTTAAAAAAAGCTCAGCCCTTGCCGGTGGTCGGCCATCCGTGTGATGGTTGCAGGTGCAATTTTTTTTGTCATATTTTTTTTTGCATGGGAAAATACTGCAAGGAAGTGGTGGGGGTGAGGTTTGATCCCACTACTCTTTGGCCATTTGAGCCAATAAAAAAAAGATGACCATTGGGCCATCAAAGAGTTATTAAATTTATAATACAAACAAAAATATAAGTTGACTATTTTATTGTGACTCCAGCATATTACAACAATTTATCTACGGATGACAAATCTTAATTGAGAAATAACAAATCTAAATTTAATATTAACAAAGCAACTTTTCTTGATATACTACCTCCGGTCCTAATTATAAGACCCAGTTGACTTATTTGAGGAGATTAAGGAAGTAAGTTAAGTTAGTTATTTGTAATAAGTAAGTGTTGTCATTCCTAAAATATCCTTGCTAATTAAGTGTATTGGCTAGAAGTATCATTGTTAGAAGGATTATCTTGGAAAAAAATGCATAAATATGAGAGACAAAATGGATTGGGGTCTTATAATTAGGACCAAACAAAAAGTCAAACAGGGTCTTATATTAAGGACCGGAGGTAGTATAACAAGAAGTAGCATGTATATTAATTAAAAATTATAATAATTTCTTTGAAAATGACACATCTTTACTAAAAAATGATAAGTCTAAACTTGATATTAACAAAGCAACTTTTCTTAATACATAACAAGAAATAGCATGCACATTAATTAAAAATGATAATAATTTATTTGAAAATGACACGTCTTTATTGAAAAATGATAAATCTAAACTTGAGATTAACAATATGTCTTTTCCTGATACATAATATGAAATAACATGTGTATAAATTAAAAATAACAAATATTTATTTGGGAATGACATGTCTTGAAATTTTCAAATAAATTATTATCAATATGTCTTTTCCTGATAAACTTAAAATTAATAATATGTCTTTTCAAATAAATAAACTTGATATTAACAGTATGTCTTTTCTTGATACATAATATGAAATAACATGTGTATTAATTAAAAATGACAACAATTTATTTGGAAATGACATGTCTTGACATTTTCAAATAAATTATTATCATTTTAAATTAATACACATGCTACTTCTTGTTATGTAAGTTGCTTTGTTAATATTAAATTTAGACATGTTATTTCTCAATTAATACTAGCCATCCTTAGATAAATTGTTGTTATGGGCTGAAGTCACAATAAAAGAGTCAATTTATATTTTTATTTGTGTTATAAAATTAGTAAGTCTTTAATGACTCAATGGTTATCTTTTTTTTTGTTGGTGTAAATGGTCAAGGGGTAGCGGGATCAAATCCCACCCCCACCACTTCCTTGTAATATTTTCCCATGCCAAAAAAAAAACTATGACAAAAAAAATTCCACTAGCAACCACCACACCAGTGCCCCCGCTGTTGGCTACTCGCTAGTGGTGGCTGGCCACCGGAGAGGGCTGAGCTTTTTTTTTTTTTTAAAAAAAGGACAAATGGTATTTTTGTTATTTTACTGAATTTCAAAATCCCAATTTGGGAAGGACTTTCCTCTCTGTTATTAGATTTTCTTAACTTTCCAAATTAGAATATCATATATTTCATCTTCTTTATCTGTCATTTTTCCTCATAAAAACGATCAGAAGTGATGAAATTTAAAGCAGAACTTTATTTGACACCATATATATATATTATATATAATTATATATAAAAGAAGACGTGTCCATATTTAATACTCCACTATATCTTGAATATAATTATCTCTAATAAAATAATATATGTGAATAATAAAAATAATAATTGTGCTGTATATACAAGCAGCAAATTCATGGAAAAGTAAAATGTATAGCTAGCTAGGTACTTCGGTTTTAATTTCTTCTTTGAATTAATACATTATATTTAAAACTAAAATAAATATCCCAACTTATATTTGAGGACCAGAGAGAGTGATATCTTTTGCACTATTAGTTTAATTTCTTGTGACTTGAATTATTGTCCTGAAAAACTAAACCCTGATGAAGCTAGATATATGTTGGGTAGACATTAATGTCAATATTTATAAATCCTTTCATTTTAAACTATTTTACAGACTCTGTCAATATTCTACTTTAATATGAATCAACAAATTAACGTGTGTGTAAAATTTTATAAAAATCATGATATTTATAAATTATAAATAATGTGGCGAACATACGCCTAAACTATTTTTTATCCTAATTTCAGTTTTTATAAATTATATCATATAAATAAGTTAACGTGAAACTATTTTTTTTATACAATCATATTTAAATATAAATTACATTACACTGATTAATTTTTATTCTAATTTTTGTTTGCAAAAATCAATTAGAATAAAATTCACTTTGGCAATCAACATGTGTTGGTTCTAGTGAAACGAGTTTTAAGTGCTTAAACACGAGGCCTTGAGTATAAATTCATATGAATGGAGAAAATATTTTTAAGAGAACTATCTTTAATCGCCCCGATAATGTTTAAATTGAACTCAGTTATACAACCATGTAAAAAAATAAAAAAATTACAAACCTTAATGTAAACAAACCCAAAATAAAGCGAAGATGCATTGGCCTTTTTTTTTTTTAAAACCTTTTTTTGTGAATGTCGATGAGTCGAAGGCATTTTGGAACCACATCAAAAGACAAGTGGGTTCATTCTTTATTGCTAGCTTGTCTATTTGGAGAGAAATCATATATTACTTCCAATTTTTAATATAAAAATTAGTTTAATTTTTAATTTGATCCTAAATATAAGATTTTTATCTATTCTGTGCTTTATATTTATCTTTTTTTTTAAAAAAAATCCTTATAGCAGTTGTATAAGTTAAATACTTTTATCAAATAGTAGTTCTTGCTAATACATATTATTAACTAGAGTATTTTAGGGAAGACAACATCAATTTAGACAAATAACTAACTTAACAAATTTTTTTAATTTTTTTAAATTAGTCAACTAGCACTTATATTAATGATCAAAAATAGTATAAAGCAAGGTACACCGATTATCACCCCCCTTTTATGTTTAAATTTTCTTTATATTATTGAGTGCTTTTGATGATAGCTCAACAAAATTGTGGGGGGAAAAGTCAAATGATATAAATGATCTACTAGCTATGCTGCATAGAATTTGAAAATAAACTATATTATCTACAGTCATAATTATAAGACCTTGTTTATAGACTATAAATAAGATCTTATAATTAGGGCCGAGGGTAGTATATACTCATTCTAAGCTACTCTGGTACTCATTCTAAGCTCATCAAATTTAAATTATTTAGTAGATAGTTTAGATTTGATTTTTATTTCTGTTTATTTAAAATAATTATTTTAATTGGTATATGCTGTAGAGTAAAGATAATCTCTTAACTACTATTTTTTCAAAAAATATTTTTTCTCTTTAAAAATTTAAAATCTGAACTGTTCAAATGGGATTTAAATGGTCCAGATCTCATGAGTTTAATCTGCTCATAACAATTTTTTTTTTCTATGAATAATAAGTTTTAGATAAACCGGAACCATTCAAATAAATTAAAGGATAAAATTTTGAATAAAATTTTATTCAAAATTTTAATCGTCAAAAGTTTAGTAGAACACGCCTCATGAGCTCAACCACCTTGGGTGCAATAATTCACGTTGATATTAATGACGCCTAAGATCTGGCAATGCCATGCGTGGGGTCTTCATTTAATGTTCATCACAATGATGAGTATATGACACTCATCAGTGTAATGCAATTTAAATCATCTAAAATTTAATATGGGTGGTTTAGATTTAAAGTTTTTAATATATAATTTTTTTAATGACAAATTTATTTTTAAAGATATCTTAGTTATGATATTATATTTATTTTAAATTTTGTATCTATTAAAATAAAAAGTTGATTAAAATTGAAAAAAATTTAAATTCAATCTGAATCATCTAAAATCAATCTAGATAGTCCAAATTGCAATGAGTACTTCATGTTCATTATTGCGATCAACATGGAATGTGCTCCCATGTGGCATATGTGTAGAAGATTAAAATTAATCTAAAATAGACTGCATTTGTAAAGAAAATATTCATTACGAAGCAGGTCATGGGGACTACTTACTGTTGATATTTATTACATACGGACCCTTCGAACCACCTCAAATTTCCTATATAAGGGCTAGGGCTTAAGCCTTCGTTGTGCGTGTGAATTAGGGTTTGCATTATATATCGATCACCACAAACAGAAAAGAAAGAAAGATGGCTCACTTATTTGGGAAGGTTGAAGCAGATGTTCATCTTAATGCTTCTGCTGAGAAGTTTCATGAAATGTTCAGCAGCAATCCTCATCACATTGCCAACGTTACTCCTGGGAAAGTCAAGGCTGTGACTAAGCATCAAGGTCAATTCGGACAAGTTGGCTCTGTCCTTGTCTGGAATTATGTTCTTGGTAAGCCAAATTTTAATTTATGAGTATCATCTGGACGGTTTTTTTAAATTGATGATTTTCGTTCATTTTCGAGATTGAATAAGCTTCGCTATATGATATATATATATATATATATATATATATTATCAGATCAAATGAATGATATTAGTTGTGACTGCACGTAGATGGGAAGACCTGCGTGTCCAAGACTGTGATTGAAGCCACAGACCAAGCAAAGAACTCAATCACTTTGAAGATAACAGAAGGCGATGTACTTGAACATCACAAGAGCTTCAAAGCCACGATTCAAGCCATTCCAAAGGAGAAGGGAAGTGTGGTTCACTGGACATTTGAGTACGAAAAGCTTCAGGGGCAAATCCCAGATCCTCATTCTCTGTTGCAGCTCGCATCTGAGGTTAGCAGAGACATTGATTCACACCTCACACAAGGACAGGATGATCATGAGGAACAGTTATTTGGGAAGGTGGAAGTTGATGTTCACATTGATGCTTCTGCAGACAAGTATCATGAATTGTTGACCTCCAAGCCACACCACATTCCTAACATTTCTCCTGCCAACGTTCAACATGCTGTTGCAGATGCAAACTGGGGCAAGCTCGGTTCTGTAATTACGTGGCACTATGTCCATGGTAAGTACTCAACTACTTATTTATATATATAGAGACAGAGAGGGAGAGAGAGAGAAAGGTAGGTACACTTTCTCTTCAATACTTCTCCTGGTTTTCTTCTAGGAAAACGACACTCTGAACAGTGAAGTGCTGCTTCTGATTGAGCCCTCATGATTTATATCTGAGTTGCAGTCATTTCCGATCCGAATCAATGATGATGTCCTTCGTTGTTATTTATTGGGAAATCATTTTATGGTTCCAAGAAAGGAATGTGATTACCAAAAAATCTCATAGCAAGTGAATAACAACAACAAGATCCATGCTGTTCACTTGTCGACATTTTGGTAATCATATTCTTTCTTTGGGACATCATAGTGATTTCTGTTTTATTCTTCTTATAAGGTGCCAAGTTGTCATTTTGCTTTTCATTTTTACCATACAAGATCAAAGAATTAATACGCCAGTATTGTGATGAATTAACAGAAGGGAAAAACTGTGTGGCTAAGGAGAAGATCCATGCCGTAGATGCGAGCAAGAACTTAATCACTTTCAGAGTTGTGGAGGGAGATATACTGAAAGATTTCAAGAGCATGGACATAACACTGCAGGCAACTCCGAAGGATAAAGGGAGTTTGGTGCATGTCACCATGGAATATGAGAAGCTGAAAGGTCACATTCCTGATCCTCACACTCTCACAAAGTTCGTTACCGATGTTACCAGAGACGTAGGTTCTCATCTTGCCCTCTAGTGCCCACCCTTATTCTGAGCCTGTCCAACGAGATATTCATATGGTGGGTATATCGTGGGATTTGAATCTTAATTCAAGTCCTAATAAAGTGCGTATTGTCATAAGTTATATATGAATAAAAACAGGTTCATTCAGAAGTTGTATAAGTGCTTGATGACGAGAAGCTTGTTCATATGTATTGCAACTATGTTAGCTACTTTTCTTGTGTATGCGTGTGATGGAAGACTGCTTGAGATTATTCATGAGTGAATGAGTATGTTTTGTTTGGTTGTTATATCTATCAAATGCACTTTATGATTATCAACTTTCTCATTTCCTGGCTTACCTTTAGATAATTTTTTTTTGGCAAATACTGACGGTTTGAACTTATAAGCAGGATTAAATTTGTGAATTTTCACTTGCAAGGGAGCTTGCCTTCTAATAATGAGTTTGTTTATTATAATAATTACACTTAGTTGCAATTTAATTGACGACGGTGTGTGTGTGTGTATATATATATATATATATATAACAATCAATTATATATAAAAACGAAAGAAATTATACAGCTAGAGTCAGTAGGAAAGGGTCCATGGTTTGGTTTTAATAGTAGATCAGTTTTATCTAAAAAATGGCTAGAAAAGTTGATGTAAAACAAGAAGAGAAAATGAGGAATAGAAGAAATCTGAAAAGGAAAAGAAAAGGCAGAAGGGAAAAATAAAACAGCAAAAGAGAGAGTCGGGAAAAAAATTAGAAAAAAAAAATTGATAAACGTAATCTAATTCAATATTTAAGGTCTATCATAGAATGAAAACTCTAAATTTAATCATACCAAAACAATAAAAAAAATAATAACAACTAATCCTAATAATAAAAATACTAAAATAATAATAAATCTAATCTAAATAAATTCTAAAATGATAATAAATTCAAATAATTTAAATATTCTAAAAATATAATAAAGTCACGAATATTTATTTTCATATCTCGTCAAAGGCACTCCCTCTGGTTCATATTATAAGGGGTCAACGAGTTAATTCACAAAGATCAAGAAATGACAGTTATATCATTAAATGTGTTCTAAAAGTATAAACTTTTTCAAACATGCTCTTATAACAAAGATTGAGGAGCTAGTGAAAAGTTATTTATATGAGTAATAATAATTTGTAACTAGGAAAAAAATTTATTAATGACTCTGTTGACCTATTATATTTTATCTGAATTCACCTAGAAGTATCTTTTTCAAGTGATTTTGGAATCCAAGAAACAAAGTAAGATAGCTAAGGGGGTGTTTGGATATAAATTAAACGATAGTTTCAAAAGTGATTTTACGGTATACGAAATAAATATATGAAGGAGTTTATTTCAATTTATGAAAAGTATTTTTTAAAAGCACTTCTCCTAATTTTCACTGGGAAGAATTTTTTTTCTTGGATGATAACTACACATTCTTTTGTCCTTTTCTTTTTTGTTTGTAAAGTGGAACCACCGTAAACCTTAATATTCTAATATCTATGCATCTTTTACTTTATTTTTATTACATATATTATTCAATAATTTTGTTCTGATGTCCACTTTAACTTAAATCGCCTCACATTTGAAAATCTGAAGAATATGAAAGAATAGAAATTTTACCTTTAATACTAAAGATAACCTCAACTAATTCTAATATTTAAAATTAGAGGAATAGTTATTATTATTTTGTTTATTTGGGCAGAGTGGGACCCGGTGGCCGGCGAGAGAAAGTGAAATACAGAGAAACTAGCAGCAAGTGGAGAAGACGAAATATCTCAATCTACACCCGCCAACATGGAATAGACAAAGTCAACCCAGATGAACAAGAAATGAACAGAAATATCTATGAACAAGTAATATGTAATCATGAGTTGCTAAAGAAGGCTAAGCCTTTTACATCCGGTTTCAGAGTTTCAATTCAGTCGGCCGTAAATAGGGAATTCTATTGGTAAGAGTGTCTAATCTCTGCTCCTTTCAATAAAATACTGTTCATTAATAAATTGTTAGCTTCAGATTTCAAACCCACAGGCACTGTAAATAGAGTATAGGTCGAGTTACATAAGGCAGCTCCCGAATTTTAACGAGATAGGTTCCGAATGACAATAATGGAACAAAGATTGGTTTGTATGGGTTAATAGAGTAATTAGCTAATAGAAAGTTGTTAACTTAGCTAATCTCTCTCTCTCTCTACACACACACACACATTCTTTGTCTTAATTATACAATCTAGGTGCGTATTTGTGTCTTACAGTGATGACAGAGGCAATAGGTTTTGATTTGACTAATTTGTACGAGGCAATATCTGAGAACAACTGGCCTGCTGCGAAAGAATTCATTGATCGCCATCCTAGGGCCTTGAACCAAGAACTCGTGGCTTCAACAGGCGAAACACCTCTCCATGTGGCTGTAAAGCTTGGGCATTTGAGCATTGTAGAGGAATTGGTGAGATTAGTTCCACCGGAATACCTTCAAAAACTTGATGCTCATGGCTATACTCCACTTGGAATTGCTGCATCACACGGGAATCATTCCAATAGCAAAATGCTTGGTTGATAAAAATAGCAATGCACTTTCTATTCCAAAGGGACAGCTTAAATTGATTCCTGTTACATTGGCTTTTCGTGTTGGCCTCTGTGAAATGGGACGTTATCTCTATTCTGTCACTCCTTTGCAAGTCTTCAAACCAGAAAATGGCCCTTTGGGTCCTTTGTTTCTCAGAGGCTGTTTCGTCACTGGAGATCTTGGTAATACAACTTACAGCATGTCAACAAATCACTAGTACATGTTTCATTTTCATGTTATTTTGATATTCCATCTCATATACTAAGTGATTATGATATATGAATAGATGTTGCCTTGGATTTGCTTCAATGATGTGGAGAGCTAATTTTTGCTGCCGACTCTAGATACTCAACAATTGAGAATATTGCATTCTATCTTTCTGATTCTCTCAACAAAAGTCAACGTCACTTCTGGAAGCAATGGGTTTATTACTGTTAGTGCATGTAACTCTTTTAAATGTCTGTTTTTCCTTTTTATCCCTGCAATTTTCTACATGCTCTTTTCAGTTATATACAAGCCAAATACTGAATTATGATGATGTGAGTAATGGTATTGAAGCTCAAGTTATTTTAACTATAATCTCGTTTTCATCATGGTATATTCTGTAAAGAAAAGAGCTTGGAACTGAACTGAAAAAAGTGAGAGAACGAACATTTCATTAACAATAGCTGGTTAATATATCAGCTTTCTCAAAATACTATCTAGGTCTAAAAACATATCTTAGACTGATATGACATGACAATAGGAAAAAACAATCTTGTAAATTCTTTTCAACTACTACAAAAGAAACCAAAGGTCTTGCAAAGCCAAAACAAAAAATCAGCAGAATACCTTTGCCTAAGGTAGTCTCATTGCATCAACACTCCTCCTTGAGACTTTGTCTAGGGACTCTAAACTTCCTTCTAAGCTCCTGAAATCTGTCTTTAGGCAAAGCTTTAGTGATTATGCCTGCAACTTGCTTTTTGGCACTGCAATGCACAAGACATATTTCTTGTTCCCTTTCAGCATTTCTGAGAAAATAAATTTTGACCTTCATGTGTTTGGCATCCCCATGCTGCACAGGGTTTCTTGCAATAGCTGATCTACTATCACAAAATATTTGAGCAGCTTCAGCTCGCTCCAGACCCAAATCTGTCAACATCTTTCTTAACCAAATTGCTTGGTTTGCATATTCAACTTCTGTAGATGACTGAGCCACAACCTCTTGCTTTTTAGAGTTCCAGCAAAACAACCTAGAACCAGTAGAGAAAACGTATAACCTGATATATTCTTTCCACCATCTAAGCTTCCAGCCCAATCACTATCCACATATCTAATTAACTTGGAATCTGTAACAGGTCTAACTCTGATGTGCCTTTTAAATACCTCAGCACCCTTTTACCAGCTACATAATGCACCTCACTTGGTTGTTGCATGAATATTGATGATAAATATGCTGCAAACATCACATCAGGCCTTGTTGAAGTCAGGCAAAGCGAGCTCCCTACAGCACTGTTATACTTATACCTCGATGCATCACCCTTGATATATCCTTCATCACATTCAGATAATGTTTTATTGACGACCAACGGAGTATTCTTAGGCCTGTAGCTTTGCATTTTAAAATATCTCAAAAGCTCTTAAACATAAGCTTGTGGAGAAACAGAGATTCCTTGATCTGTCATGAAATCCTGAAAATAGAGCAGCCATATACCTACAAACATACCTTTTCAACTACTACAAAAGAAAGCTTCCATGACAGATCGAACGTCTGGTAAATCCAAAAAAAAAAAAATCAGCGGATTATCTTTGCCTAAAGTATCTAGAGAAAGTCTCATTACATCAATATTTGCTTGAGCATACATGTTTCAAAATAACCATATCCATCTCACCTTTCTCTCCAGTAGCCAAACGCCAGCATTAATAAGTAATTCCCTTCAGTATTATTAGTTGAGATTCCTCTCACCTATTTTTTTATTTTTATGTCCTTTGCTGTATCTTATTCTAGCTAAGCCAAACACTGACAGGCCTTGATACATATTTCATGAAATCTATATACTATCTCTGGTTCTAATTATAAGACCTTATTCGTAGACAAGTAACTTGTGTGAAGCTATTCGAATTTTGTGAAGCTATCATGCGCAAACAAATAATTTTTAAATCCTACCTCCTGTCTTAATTATAAGACCTCATTTTTCCTGTCTTAATTATAAGACCTCGTTAGACAGGAGGTAGAATTTAAAAATTATTTGTTTGCGCATGATAGCTTCACAAAATTCGAATAGCTTCACACAAGTTATTTGTCCTTTAGTTATTAATTTTATCACTTTTACTATTTGAAGAAGCTAATGTTTCTTCATTTCTTTGATCACTTTATGGGTGGAAGACATCAAAATACCATCAACCACGGCCACTAATCATTTCTGTGTAGACATGCAACAAGAAGACAAGATGAGTAACAGAGCCAAAGGTACAATAATATAATACTCTCTATCAGTTGATTGGAAGACGAAATCAAATAATATGGCAAATCTAATAGAACATCTATACCAAAAGATGTAACGAAAATTTTATTTTATTAATCATACATGAAAATCAGGTATGTCAAAATATGAAATTTGAAAACAAAAATCATATCTTATGCAAAAGATGCTAATTGCTCGCATTTAAGTTGAACCTAGCTATTGTGCAATACAAGAAAAAGATAGACCTTCACATGCATATACATGCGTCTGTAATCGTTTTGAATGATTGGGTTGATAAAATTCCATCTCAATAGGACTAAATCTACTACAATTGATCACCTCCCTCCTTTATAATTTGTTTGGTATGTAGCTCAGAAATTCCCAAAACTTAAACGAGTTGCTTTTAAGATTTTTGTTCTCATGATTAAGCCTGACTAATATTAAGTTATACTTGAGTTACCAATTGTCCAGGAATGAAGGAAATACATATGCGGAAGTTGCAACATTCACGAGCAACTGAAATACTAAACCTGGTTTGTAGGAATCTAACACTTCTGAGTGAAGATAAAAGGCATATGATTGCAAAAGCACTGTTGATGGCGGCTAAATTAGGAAATGTTGAGTTTTTGTTTAAGGTATCAACAACAAACCCAGAATTAGTCTCAATGGTCACTTTTTCTCAACAAAAGGGGCATGCTTTCTTCAATGCTGTTGAATATCGTCAAGATGAGGTTTTCAACCTTCTCCGTGGATTTCACTTTAGGAATGTGGTAGCAGTAATGTTCACTAAAAATCACGATAACTTGCTGCACATAGTAGCTAAGTTGGCTCCTGCTTCCCAACTTAACCACATCCCTGGTGCTGCTCTGAAGATGCAAAGGGAATGGCAATGGTTCAAGGTTAGAAGTGAAATTAGATGCTTTTGTGTCTCTGTGTGTGTGTGTTATGCGAGGGAGATTAATATATAAATGAAAATCATTAAATCAGGTGTAACAAATATTTTACTATACAATTTATCAGAAATTTTCTTCTTTCTTTGTTTTTTTTTTGAATTATAGGCAGTAGAGAGTGTGGTAAATCCTGGAATTGAGCTTCGTCTAAACAAAGAAGGGTTGACTCCTCTCGACTATTTCAAAAAGAATCACAAAGTACTCAGGAATGAAGGAGAGAAATGGATAAAGGATACTGCATCTTCTTGCTCAGTTGTTGGTGCTCTAATCGTTACCATTGTGTTTGCCACAGCTTTTACTGTTCCAGGGGGAAACGATCAAGCATCTGGGTACCCAATATTTTTGAAGGAAAAGTTGTTCAAAGTTTTCTTAATTTCAGATGCAGTGTCCTTGTTTGCTTCTACTACTTCTATACTTACATTTTTAGGAATCCTCACGTCACGCTATGCAGAAGAAGACTTCCTTTACTCCTTACCCACAAAATTGATCATAGGCCTTTCTACACTTTTTCTCTCAATTGTAACTATGCTGATAGCCTTTTCCGCAACAATAATCATCATGTGGCAACATAACTCATCACCTTCATATGCTTTTCTCCCTGTTATTATGCTTGCCAGCGTGCCATTGAGTCTCTTTGTTTTATTACAGTTCCCTCTTCTTGTTGAAATAATTTCTTCTACTTATGGTCCAGGCATCTTCCACAAGAAGGTGAAGAAGTGGCCATGAAATGTGTGTGTACTTTAGGCTTTAATTTGCACATTTAGAACATAAAAATGTTGATGCATTAATAGTTCTAAAGTAGTGTGTGCTTTTTAGTTTGCTTCATCCCCCAATCTCCATTTTCCCAAAGACTCCAGGACACATGCTTTTTGGAGCATCACCAGAGAAACAAACAAAGCCATTAGCGGAGTTGATGACTATGTGACAGATCCAAATCTGCGTGGAAGGTTAAGTAGTCACCAACTCACATGCTTTCACGTGGACATCAAACATAAAGAGTTAGGTGGATTGCGATTGTGAATCCAATGTCAGAATTGAGTTAGTTGTTCTGATAGGAACCACTCTAGACCACTAGTTAACTTATTGCATCAGAGAAAATATATATATAATTTTTATTTTCCAGGAGTAAGTGGTTCTAATATAATTTTGCACTGTTATAATCTCTATCTCGAGAGTGAAATGAGAAATAATAATTAAAATGGGACCAATGTGCTGGAGGAAGATGAAGATAAGGTAGAATTTATGATGCGTGGCTTGATAGTGATCAGATGAGACGAATGGAATCATAATGACGGCTCCAAATTTAGGGGGAAAAACATAATTTTTAAGTTTAATTTGATTAAAAAATTTTGTAATTTTAGTAAAACGATTGTGGATGTTACCCCACAGGCATAGATATCTTGATAGTGGGGCCTGATCACCCCATGATCACTGAAATATATGAAATATACTCTCCATATATATAGAGAGAGAGACGATTGGTTAGAATAAAAGAAATGGAGAATTGCAATCAAATCTGAAATAAAAAAATATTGTTGATAATTTTTTTTTCAAGTTTCATTGTAATTCTCTCTAAGAGAAAATTTGACAAAAAATGGTTCATGCATATCTGCATTTAAATATTATAATATACTGATCTTCCCTCTATTTAATTTAAATTATAGAAATTTTTTTCTCTTATTTTTAAAAAATTACATGACTTTCTCTCAAGATCAATATATACACATATACATGTTACACGAATTTCTCATCTAGTTTTGAGATTTTTAACTCTTATTAATGATTAAAGATATAGGTATGGATTCTGGAAATAATCATTGGTTATGACCAGTGGTTATGACCAGTAGTAATTATGGACCTGTTTGAAATGGTGACTAGAACTTTCAAAAATAACTTTTTAATCGTGATTTATAAAATCAAAATAAATATATAAAAAAGTTTTGTTGCGACTGACATTAAAGTGCTTATGAGTACTTATTAAACAGTTATAGATCAAGCCATTCAAATTTGTTCCAGCAGATAGACCAAAAAAAAAAATTGTTCCAGCAGGGCACCAAGCAAATCTTGGAGGATATTCCGCGGTTGGTCTGTCCCTTCTCTTCATTCAAACTTATGGTTTGTTTGTTAAAATGACTTCCGTTGGAATTCTTTGTAACTGTTATTTGACTCCTTTTATCGAAAAAAATTGTTTGTATTCTTTCAATATTTTCTTTTTAACCTGAACAAGCATTTTTTCAGTCTACACTTGCTATCTTAAATGTAAGGTTTACTTAAGCAATGGTAGATCCCAAAAAAAATAAAAATAAATAAAGGGTAACTATTTTACTTGTAAGAAAAGAATTTGTAATACTATTTTTAAAAAAGAATATACTCTTATCATCTAATGATTAAAATATATAATATACAGAATAAGATACCTTAATAAATGGAGGTAATAAGAAAGGAAAAAAAATCTTAATATAAGAGACAAAAAGAAATTAAATGTTACACTTAAAAAAAAAACATTTATTTATGATGACACTGTGATATGCTGATATGATAGAGGAAACTTGTTATGGTTACGGTTTTCATTAAAAAAATCTGGGCATAATTTCTCATCATCATTTAATACATTTAGTACAGGGCATGTGAAGTTTTTTAAAAAATCTTGAATATTGATAAAATATTCCCAAATCCTATCTTATTATGTTTAATTTTTGAAATAATTATTTTGTTATAAAAAATTATTATTTAAGACTAATGATTTTAGTCATGCAAAAAAAGAGACTAATAATTTTAAAGATAAAAGACTAAAAATGTACTTTTTAAAATTAAAAAACTAAAATAAAATTTTGAATAAAGTTAAAGGAATAAATATATATTTTAGTCTATTTAGGGTTCGTTTGGTATGAGAAAAATTGAGGGAAATGGAGAGAGGAAGATTTTTAATGAGCTTATTTTAAAAAATTAAAGAAGTGGGGTTAAAATTTTCTAAATAATTTTTCTTACTCTTTTATCTTACATTTTCTTTTTATCAAAATTTGACAACCCCACTTTTTCAATTTTTTTAAAATAAGCTTATTAAAATTTTTCCTCTCCTCCCCTTCTTTCCCTTTCATTTCCCTCATACAAAATATATCCTTAGAGCATTCTCCAAAACTTGCCAAGGCCCCCCCCCCAAAAAAAATCCTATAAGGAGTGGATCTAATTGATCCCGTAATATTGATCGTCTCTAAAAAGTTTTAATTTAAAAAATTTCAATTAATATTAAAATAGCCTAAAATACATAGAACTTTCCTAAATTTTAAATAAATTGCATGTAATCTTCCTTATATTTAAAATTTAAAATTAAAGACCGTAATATTTCATATTTTAATTGTTAATTTCTCTGCTGTTAAAATTAACGGTTTTCACCATGTCAACCTTTTATATTTTTTATTATATGCCATGTCACTTAAAAAATAGCACTTGCAGTTTAGAAAATAAATTTTATATTTTTTAAGTACTTAAAAAGAAATAATTAATTACTTTCAAATATATAAAATATTTAAATATATAAAATATTCAAAATATTTATTTAACTGAGTTTTTTTAGATAAAAAATTTTAAATTACTTCAAATTACATATCGCATGACAAGTATTATTTTTTAAATGACATGATATATAATAAAAAAATAATAAAATTTTGATGCCAAAAACCACTGCCTTTAACGATAATTTTAACGATAAGAAGGTTGATAATCAAATAATTAAACATTAAAGTTCTTAAAGGTGAAGGAGATTTTACGACCAAAGTTTTTTGGGAATTTGATGCATTTTAGCCTTTAATATATAAACTTTTAAAAGTAATAGTCCGCTGACATTAATCAGCAATTACAGGATATAACATCATACATGAACGAAAAACTGAAACAATGCGAATACTTCTGCCATACTTTATATAAGTTCTTAATTTTTATAAATAAAAATTTTCCACAATTTAAAAACATCTATTAAAGAAAGTAAATACCATATCATAATTAAATTTATTAAAAAAATTGGGCTTAAAAAATTTAATTGATATTAAACCTATACCATTATTTTAGTTTTTGTTTTAAAGAATGAGTCCCATAAAAAGGATTGAGTATTTAATTAACGGGTGTTTGAAACAACTTTTAACAGGTAATTTTACAGAGTTTGAGATAAGTATATGAAAAAAGATTAGCGGAGGCTGATCACCCCATGATCACTGAAATATATGAAATATACTCTCCATATATATAGACATTTGGTTAAATAGGATGAAAGAAATGGAGAATTGTAATAAAATCTCAAGTAAAATATATTGTTGGTAATTATTTTTTTTACTTAAAGTTTCAATGTAATTCTTTCTAAGAGAAGATTCGACGAAAATGGGTCATACATATCTGCATTTAAATATTACTACCTCCAATCCTAAATACTACCTTCCGTTCTTAATACAAGATCTTGTTTGACTTTTATTTTAGTCTTAAATATAAGACCCTAATCCACTTTATGTCTCATATTTATATATTTTTTTCAAAGTAGTCCTTCTAACAATAATAGTTCTAGTCAATGCATTTAATTAGCAAGGATATTTTAGAAAAGACAACACATATTTAGGACAAATAACTAACTCAACTTACTTTCTTAATCTCCTCAAATTAGTCAATTGGCTCTTATAATTAGGACCGGAGGTAGTATAAGGGTTAGTTGACTAACTTGAGTAGGTTAAGAAAATAAGTTAAGTTAGTTATTTGTAATAAATATGTGTTGTCTTTTCTAAAATATCCTTGCTAATTAAGTTTATTGGCAAGAATTACTATCATTAGAAGGATTATATTGGAAAAACATAAATAAATATTTGAGACAAAATGGATTAGGGTCTTATATTTAGGACTAAAATAAAAGTCAAATGAGGTCTTATATTAAGAAATATACAGAGGTAGTATAATATACTGATCTTCTCTCTATTTAATTTAAATTATAGAGACTTTTTTTCTTTATTTTTTAAAAATTACACGACTTTCTCTTGAAATCAATATATGCATATATATATATATATATATTACACGAATTTCTCATCTAGTTTTGACATTTTTAACTCTTATTAATGATTAATGATATAGGCATGGATTCTGAAAATAATCATTGGTTATGACCAGTAAAGAAGTATTTGTTTGAAATGACAGTTAGAGCTTTTAAAAATAACTTTTTAATCATAATTTATAAAATATAGATAAACATGTAACAAAATTTTGTTTTGACAGGCATACAAATATTTATAAGTACTTATTAAACAGGTCCAGATCAAGCCATTCAAATTTGTTCTTTTTTTTTTTTGATAATAATGGGGTACACCTTACAGCGTCATTCAAATTTGTTCTAGCAGGGCACCAAGCAAATCTTGGAGGATATTCCACGTTTGGTCTGTCCTTTCTCTTCATTATCTTGCTCATTAATGTTTTGTTTGTTAAAGTGACTTCCGTTCGACTTCTTCTATGTAATTGTTATTTGAATCCTTTTATGGGGGAAAAAAATATTTTTATTCTTTCAATCTTTTCTTTTTAACCTGAACAAGTATTTTTACAGTCTATACTTACTATGTTAAATATAAGATTTACTTAAGCATTGGAAGATTCCCAAAAAAAAAACAAAGGGTAAGTATTTTACTTGTAAGAAAAGAATTTGTAATGCTATTTTAAAAAAAGAATATACTCTTACCATCTAATGATTAAAATATATAATATACAGAATTAAAGATACCTTAAATCCTCAATAAATGGAGGCAATAAGAAAGAAAAAAAAAATTAATATGGGAGATAAAAGGAAATAAAATGCTACACTTAAAAGGGAAAATAAAAAAACATTTATTTATGATGACAGCGTTATATACTGATATGACAGGGAAAACTTGCTATGGTGACGGTTTTTCATTAAAAAAAACTTTGGCATAAACTTCTCCATCATCATTTAATACAAAGCATGTGGAGGTACCTAAAATATACTTTTAAGTTTTTAATTTTATGTAAAATTTTAATTTAGTTTGTTGACTTTAAAATATATATTTTTACTTTAATCCCAAAACTGTTAACAAAAAATAATGATATTAAAATTTTAAATGTTGATAAAATATTTTCAAATATTATTATATTTAAGTTTAATTTTCAAAAAAACTATTTTGTTATGAAAAAATTATTATTTAAGAGTAAAAAATAAAAAAAATAACAATTTTAAGATTAAATGATTTTAAAATATACTTTTTTAAAATTAAAGAACTAAAAAAAATCTTGTGTAAAGTTAAATAAACAAGTATATAGTTTAGCCTATTTGGATAGAGTATTCTCCAGAACTTGTCAAGTCCCTCCCAAAAAAAAAAATCCTCTAAGGAGTGGATCTAATTAATCCAGTAATATTGATCATCTTAAAAAAAAATTAATTTAAAAAATTTCAATTAATATTTAAAATATGCTAAAATAAATAAAAATTTCCTAAATTTTAAATCACTTGCATATAACCTCTCTCATTTTTAAAAGTTTAAATTAAGAACCATAATATTTCATATTTTGATTATTAATTACTTTGCTATTAAAATTACCGTTAAAATTAAATATTTTTACCTTATCAACCTTTTATATTTTTTATTTTATGCCATGTCATTTAAAAAATAGCAGTTGAAGTTTAGAAAAGAAATTTTAAATTTTTTTAAGTACTTAAAAACAAATACTTAATTACTTTAAAATATATAAAATATTTAAATATAAAAATATTTAATTGATTTTTTTAGAAAAAAATTTTAAATTACTTCACATTACATATCACATGACAAGTGTTATTTTTTAAATAACATGATATATAATAAAAAATATAAAAAATTTTTGACATGGTAAAAACCACTGCCTTTAACGATTAGAAGGTTGATAATCAAATAATTAAGCATTAAAGTTCTTAAAGGTGAAGGAGATTTTACAACCAAAGTTTGTGGGGAATTTGACGCATTTTAGCCTTTAATATGTATAAATTTTTAAAAGTAACAATCCGCTGACATTAATAAGCAATTGCAGGATATAACATCATGCAGGAACGAAAAACTGAAACAATGTGAATACTTCTGCCATACTTTATATAAGTTATTGATTTTTATAAATAAAATTTTTCCACAATTTAAAAACATCTATGGAAGAAAGTAAATACTATATCATAATTAAATTTATTAAAAAATTGGGGTAAAAAAATTTAATTGATATTAAACCCATACCATTATTTTAGTTTTTGTTTTAAAGAATGGGTCCCATAAAAAGGATTGAGTATTTAATGAAGGGCTGTTTGAAATAACTTTTTATAAATAATTTTACAGAGAGTTCGAGGTAAGTACACACAAAAAATTCTGTCCTGACATGAATATGTATATATATTTTTAAGTACACCTTCTAAAACTGAAACATGAGTTCTCCTATTCTTTTATCGGTTAAGTGGGTGTTTAGATAAATACTAAACTATAATTTTAAAAGTGATTTTACGGTATATAAAGGTAAATATGTGAAGAAGTTTGTTTCGATTTAAAATTTTTTTTTTTTAAAAAGTACTTTCACCACTTGCCAAACACCCCCTAAATCAAGTGAAGTGAAGTGAATATAATTGTTGGCAAAAAAAGTAAACATAATTATTTGACCCTTACAATCTTCCATTTATTTCAATATATATATAAATAAAATATCGAATGAGGTGTCCGTACATATCTTGTTGGCAACTGGCAAGAGAGAGACCGGTAAGTACTGAAAGATGATATTAATTATAATAAAATATACTGACTATCCTTTTATTTTATCCCAGTTATATAAACCTTCTTTTTATTTTGAAAACGTATATAAACCTCCCTTACAGTTAAAATGTATGTTACACAAACCTCCCTTCTATATTTAAGATTTTATTTTCATCCACCCAAACTGCTAGTTAACTGTTAAATTTGACTTTAAATTATTTTTTTTGACCAAAATACCCCTTTTTAAATTAATAATTATTTAGACATTTATATTTTCCAAAAAATGTTTTTATAAAATCAAAAAATAATTATCTTTAAAATTTCTAATATGGTATAAAATTTATTAATTTTGATCTAAATCATAAGATTTCATAATTTCCATATTTTACCTTAAATCATAAAATCAGTTAAGCCTTAACTGAATGAAATTGATGTAACTGTAAAAATATAATTTAGGAATTTATTAGAATGAGGAGTAAAATAATAAATAAATTTTATTTTGATATAAATTTCAGTTAAAAATAATATTCTTAGAATATTTCTAACAGTGTTAATTAATTGAACTAAATTGTATGTTTTTAAAATAAATGGAAGGCTTGTGTAATTGATACAAACTAGAAGGGTAGTGATAGTATTTTACTCTATTAATTAACTGAATATTTTAACAAGCATTTTGTTGGGCATAATTAAATCCCGCATGATTTCATTGCTCTAGCAATCCAAGACCGAATATTTTAACAAGTTTGAATCATCTTACTTTTAATTCTCTTAATTTGTCTCAATTAAAAATTTTAGTCGTCGGGTGAATATTACAGTTTAGTAAATCATTTTTATAAAAATGTATTTTAATTCAAATGAGAAAGATAAAAATATTGCACTCTCATAATTTTTTTAAAAGATTAACAATTCAGGTCAAATCAGTGACTGAAAATTAAAATTGAGACATTGTGAGGATTATTTACTTTAGATTATTCTCGATTGAACTATTAAATCGGAGAAAAAATTTAAATTCACATTTTAACTTCAACTTCCCCAATAGGGAGAGGAACAAGTAGATAATAATTCCTTGATCTCGAAGTCTCAAAACTATAGCCATTTTGTTGTCACAGTACATGAAATGATCGATACATGATTACATGTGGATAATATGGCCAAAGTTATACCTGCATGAAAATTTATAGCGATAATGAAACGCAGACATGTAACATTCAGAAATCGCTGGTGAGGATAGGACAATAAATGTGATAATAAATAATCAAACCAATAAAAGGGGACGATCAATAGTGGGCAAATTATATTACTCCTCTTGTCCTATTTATAAGACAGAGAGAAGTTTTTTCTTAGTCTTATTTATAAGTCATTTTATTAAATTTTAAGTATGAATATACTATTTTATCTTTATTAATTATAATGTAGATAATTTTTTTTGGAATGTGCATATATTAAATAGGGATAAAGTTGAAAAGTTATTATATTTTAATGAAGAGTTGATACAATTTATGGTTTTTCTTAATCTATATAAAACATGTATAAATAGGACTAGAGGAGTTCATGTTTAGAAAGGTACATAAAGATAAGCATACATTGACAAAAGAAAAAAATAAATAAATAAAAGTTTAGACAACGATTCACAAAAGTTTTAATATACAAATTTCAACTTATAATTGATTTTTTTTATTTTTAAATATGTAAAACTATTTAATTTTAAAATTTAAAGAAGAAAATAGTCATAATCTTTCCGCAATAAAGGCCCCAACCTCTTGATGCAGTACAATAATTCATATGTTGATAACAGCCATACAAAATCATGGCCCTCTTACACAAAAGAAAAAGAAAACTATACAAAAATATAGCTGTGCTAATATGGTAGGTGCCCAGGTCTTCGGTCCTTTTTTTATTTTTTATTTTCATATAGGTTAGAGTACACTTAAGTTACTTTAAGCTTGAAACTAATTTCTGTCGGGTTAAGAACGTTAAGATTAAAGTTTTTTCAGCAAGTATGTTTTTTAGGATTCAAATTTGTATTCTCTTTCTTACGGGGTAAGATCGCTTATCACATATCAACTAGCAGCTTATTAGGAAAAAATGATTTTAATTTTTATTGAAAATTTGACCTTTTTAACAGCCCCAGTTCATCGCAATTAATCTGTTATCTTATATAAAAATGCATTCAAATATTTCATATTAATCAAGCGCCTAATTAAAATTGATACAAATGAATGCCTATTGAAGTAATAAAAAAAGGATTTGGAATACGTTGCGAAGCAGGTCGTGGTGCTTCAAAGCACCGCAAAATTCCTATATAAAAGGGTTAGGGCTAAAGCCTTCTTCGTTGTCCATGCAATAGGCTTCGCATTATATATCTTTCTGGTTTCTATCAAAAGAGAATTAAGATGTCTCATCTTGGGAAGACCGAAATAGACGTCCACCTGAATGCCTCTGCCCAGAAGTTTCATGAAATGTTCACCAGCAATCCTCATCACATAGCCAACATTAGTTCTGCTAAAATCAAGTCTGTGACTAAGCTTGAAGGTGATTTCTCAAAAGCCGGCTCCATCGTTGTCTGGAATTACGTTCTTGGTAAGCTCAAACTGTTATTTAGAGAGATACAGCACTATATATGTTTAGGTACTTCTTTTTGTGTGTATGTGTGAAGCTGATAAAAATAAATGACTGAAGAATTTCTGTTACTTATTCTTATCACTTACTCACCACTGTAATCATCTGATATAACAGATGGGAAGGAGGGGGTGGCGAAGGATGTGATCGAAGCTGTGGATGCAGCTAAGAACCTGATAATTTTCAGGGTGATAGAGGGGGATTTCCTGAAGCATTACAAGAGCTTTAAGTTCATAATTCAAGTGAGCCCAAAGGCAAAAGGAAGTGTGGCTCACTGGACTCTTGAGTATGAGAAGTTGCATGGGAGAATCCCAGATCCACACACTGTGATGCAGTTGGCGACAGAACTGAGCAGAGAAATTGATGCAAGCCTCACCCAGGGACAGCACAGGAAGAACAGTTATTGGGGAAGGCGGGAGTTGATGTGCACATTAATGCTTCTGCAGACAAGTTTCATGAAATGTTCAGCAGCAAGCCACACCATATTCCCAATATTTCTCCTGCTAGAATTAGAGATGCTATTCTTGAAGGAAGTTGGGGCAAGGTCGGTTCCGTTATTACCTGGCATTACGTCCATGGTACGTAACTTCTCAACCACCTCTCTCTCTTTCTCTGTCACACACCCACACAGTTAATTCAGTTAATTGAATCTGTTTTATAAATGTTGAACATGATGCTGATTTCAAGAACGAATTTGTGGTGTATTTGTGAATTGTGCAGAAGGGAAGAACCGTGTGGCTAAGGTGGTGATTGAAGCCATAGATGCAGACAAGAATCTGATCAGTTGGAGAATTGTGGAGGGAGATATCCTCAAGGATTTCAAGGCCCTGATTACTACCTTGCACGCAATTCCAAAGGATAAAGGGAGTTTGGTGCATGTCATCCTGGAATATGAGAAGCTGAAAGGTCACATTCCTGACCCTCACACTCTCATAGACTTGGTAGCTGAAGTTGTCAGAGACATTGATGCTCATCTTGTTACCCAGTAGTAGCCATCTTTGAAGCTTATCTTTAGCTCTACTATATATTGATCTTATTTATATTTTCAGATTTCTGAGCCATGCGATTTGAGTCTCATTGACTTCCTAGAGCATCTCAATTAAGGTGTTAAATTTCATAGAAGAAAGGTACAATGTGTGCGAGACGGTGAACCTCGCATATTGCATCGTTTTCTTTTATTGAAATCAACACTGTTAATTTCTTAAAAAATTGAGAGATTCAAATCCTCAACTCCAGCGCGTCCGTCCTTGTGGATGTTATATATACTCCATTGTGTGTAATAAAAACAGCTTCCATCAGAAGTTGTTTCTAATGCTCGTATATTGCGATCAGCTGTAATATGTGATTGTAAGCTATGAAATCGATGGTCGAGTGTTAATTTGCTCCTGCCTTCCAATCTGGTTTACCATAAAACTCTAGTTTTTCTTTTCACTTGCTAATTTAAGAGTATCCATGTCCTAATTAGCTTCATTTGACAAAATGGGTCGGAGGAGTACCAAAAGAACTTTTTCTTTTGAGACATTATCCAGAGAAATCTTCAATACCAAACGGTCAATTAATTAATTTGACAAAATCAGATCAATATATATGTGTGTGTATGTCCCGAACATGCAAAATGAGGACAATACACACATCTCCGGAATAAGACTAGTTGGTTTTCACATTATTATTGTAATAATATGAAAACATGCGACTGAAAGACTAGAAAGCATAATAATAGGACTAATAATGATGGCTGCTGAGAAAGCCATCATCATAATTGCAATGGAGAGCAAAATGTAGAAAGCCATCGCCATCATCTTTTCCTTTCTCTGTCTTCTGGGTTTTTGTAAAGTAAGCGCTAATTTTTTTACCAAAAAAGAAAAAGTAAACATTAATCATATCTCTATTTCGGATAGGATATAATGCTCGAAAATATAATTCATTTGTCTATTTGGGATAATCCAGGACGTGAAGTAAGCATTTATCAGTGGAATTATATTGATAAATTATTTTTAATTACTAATTTTTTATATCTTCTTTTAGGACCACCATTTTTTATCTGAACGTAGAGAATTAAGTAATCATTAAGTGCCCCACATCTAAACAAATAATGTATCAATCTTCCATGATATATATATATATATATGGAGTTAAACACAATAGCCATTTGATAGAGAGGGGGAGGGAAGTGGAGAGGCTATTTCTCGTATCTAAATCTTCAAAATGTGCACAATGTGTAACGTTCTGAGTTTTATTGGGTTTTAATAGCCTCTTTTTGGTTGATTTTGAGGATAGATTAGTGATTTAACCTTGATCTTGGTGTTTGGCTTGGGATTGAGGTATGTTGAAGGAATAGGTGAACAATTCCTCTCAGGGTTTGTTCACCACGGTGAAGTTTTACTTCGCCGCGGTGTTTGGCTTGGGATTGAGGTATGTTGAAGGAATAGGTGAACAATCCCTCTCAGGGTTTGTTCACCACGGTGAAGTTTTACTTCGCCGCAGCGAACCGGGAGTTCCAGGGGGAGTGTCCTTTCGGGAAGGTTTCGCCGCGGTGAAGTTAGGGGTATGCCGCGGCGAAGATTGGAGTTCGCCGCGACGAAGTCAAGTTTTCAGGCGAGTAATCCCTCTCGGGATTAGTTCACCGCGGCGAAGGGGGTCGAATCTATATAGTCGCAGGAGGGGTCAGATGTGCGAAAAATAGAAAATCTGAAGGAAGAGAGAGAGGCTCTGTTAGGGTTTTGAATTTTTGGCTTGGATGGGGCATTTCTAAGGATCCATTACCTCAAGTAAGTGATTTTAACCTCTAATCTACTTTCTTTCTTGGAATTTCTGAGGATTTATGGTGAAACCCTAGAGTTCTCTAGGTTGTGATGGAATTGAGGTTTTTGACCGATTGTTTTGGGTTTAATTGATTGCTTTGGGTTAGTCTAAGTATTTAATCGGTGTAGTTTTCTTGGATTTAAAGAACTTTGAGTTTTTGAAGTTGGGTTTATGAAAATGGGAGGTTTGTGATTGAGGATGATAATGTGGAGGTTGATTTTGAGTTTTGTTATTTGGGTTATGTTAAGGAGGGTTAAATTGGATGTTTAATCGGTTTAGAATGTTGTTAAGACTTCAATTGTTCAAATGAGATGTTTGAATGTTGAATTCCTATAGTGGGTCCTTGAGGTTATGAATTTTAATTGATGTTTGAAAAGGAATTAAGGTTTTAATGGATTTTTATGACCTTGGAGTGTTGCCTTGATGGTTATACCCTTTTTAGTTGGGTAGAGTTTTGGTTGCAGCTAGGAATTGTGTCCCCAAGTGTTGTTTTGGCCACATTATTAGTTGAAAGCTAACACATGATGGTTGTGTGCTTGTGTAGACCGGTTGTGAGCCTTGTTGGTGGACGGGGCCGTATTGTTGGTTTGTTATTCCTTGCTCAGGCGAGAGGTAACTACTTTCCAATCATTTGTACATGCTTTTGTGGTATTGTGAGTGGATTTATGTTTTGTGCTTCGAGTAACAATTGTGTTCAAAGTGTATGTTGTATACTGAAAAGGAAAACCATCTTGTGGGGTTTCAATTGATATTGAATGAATCTGGAACTTGTGAAAGATAGGCCACTGAAAGAAGTTAATTGTGAAATGATCATTTACTCTTTGATTACGGTTTGAGCATGATGCATGAATTGGGAATTGGTGAGAGTTTTGATTGTTACTACCACGTGGTAAGGCCTCCATTAATGCATGATGGTTGGCTCTTTACGTTCCCCATAGTGAGGGATAGGCCTTTTGGCTCCTTACGTCCCCCAGAGTGAGGGATAGGCCTTTTATGGCTCCTTACGTCCCCCATAGTGAGGGATAGGCCGGGTTTGGCTCTTGAAAATCCTCCAAAGTGAGGAATATGGTTGATGGGATTGCACCATTTCACTTGCTTGACTTTTTGTGGCTATCATTTATCATATTACTTGTGAACTACCCCACTTGACACCTCACGAGCACCTATTTAGTTGTACCTTGAATTGGAAAGGCTGGTTACTAGGACGTTGTCTCACCCCATGGTTTACAATGTTTTCAGGTAAGGGTTCTAGGCGTGTACTATCGGGAAGAGACGCAGAGGCTTGAGCTTGATTAGCTTTAGGCCTCTAGCCCTTGTATATGTATGGCTAGTCGTATATTGCCACATTTAGGGCCCCTTTTGAAATATTTTGATTGTTGGTCTTATTGTAAACTGGAAGAAATGTTATCTCCTTATTTTTGGTTGGCCGGAGGACATTTCTAGTGTTTTGTGAAACTTTGATATACATTGTTGGAAACCAATTGTATGGGCTGATGTTGATGTCTTTTGTTACCCGGGCCGGAGCTCAGAGGCCCAGTGGATGTTAATGAATGATTTTAGTTGCATGCAACGGAGTTTGAGTTTGAACCGAGTTTAAATGTTAATTGCTAAAATTATGCAATTTTTTTCTACTATGATACTTTGTTGTAACAGCTTTCCTTTTCTACCATAGTAGTGATTTTATGACGAGTTTATAATGTTTCGAGGTTAAGGGTTTTACACAATGCATATATAGTAAGACATGTGAATTACACATAATACATTTTTCTTTCAAATAATCCTTCAAAATGCATGTAGCAATTACATGTTGACGCTCATCAATGGCCTTGATTATGCCAACTAATAAATTTTTCTTTGCAATTATGGCACCAATAATCATTAGAAGTAATGTTCTAAATATTCAAAGGCTGATGCACACATCGTTAAGTTACTTGGGCTAAAAATAAAAGCGCGCAGCTGGTAATTTAATACACATTAAGATAAACGAGAGAAGCTTTATTTCAATAGAAAATAATACATACATAGTAAGACATGTGAATCACACACAGAGTTCATGGCCACTTTTCCACCTTCTTCTTGAACAGGCCTGGACCATAAGTAGAAGAAAATACTTCAACAATAAGAGGAAATTTGTAATAATACAAAAAGGGTTACTGGAACACAAGCAAGTATAGGAACAGGAAGAATAACCCATAAACATGATGAGTTATATTGCAACATGATCATTATGGCTGCTGAAAAGGCAATCATCATAGTTGCAATAGACCAAAAAAGTGTAGACAGACCTATTATCAATTTTCTAAGTAGTGAGTAATGAAAGTCGTCTTCCACATAGCGAGATGTGAGGATCTCTAAAAATGTGAGTACGGAAGTAGTGGAAGAAAACAAGAAAAGTGCATATGAAATTAATAAAAATTTAAATAACTTTTACTTCATAAACATTGGGTACCCTGAATCCTGATTGTTCCTTTTGGGAATTGTTATAGTTGTGGCAAACACGATGGTAACAATTAGGGCCCCAACAACTGAACAAGAAGATGCTGTTTCCTTCATCCATTTTTCTCCTTTAGCCCTCAACCCCTTGTGGTTTTCTTTTAAAATTTGAGAGGCCTCAGCTCCTTGTCGTTTACAAGTAGCCTTCGTCTAGGATCAACCACAGTCTCTACCGCCTATGTTTACAAAAAATAAATAAATAAACAATAAATAAAAGACACAAAGTAGCAAAATAGAAGTTATGATTAATTGTATATTAAAATATTTGATGCATATAGGATAATTCATTGTTATTCTTTCATTCTATGTGTATACAAAGAATTAAGCTATGTCATAAAATCAATTTACTTTTTTTGCTAGTTCACAATCAGCAAGTATCAACAGATGTGTCCGTGCATGAAAAAAAAAATCCTCAAAGAAAAACATTTCCTTCATTGGTCAATTTTGTTTATTAATACCGCGCCATACAATGAATCCTAATTATTAGCAAATGAAGCACTCCATCCCACAAATCTTCTTTCCATTTATTTTTTATGTCATTTGCTATCATTGCTGCCGCCGTGTTCTTAAAGCAAAAACCACGGAGGAGGTTGAAAATCTTAGCTTTACGACATTAGACAGCCACGAAGAAAAAGGGCAAGTAACTTGAGTGACCAAAAGTGACTTGCGAGATTAATTCCGGGTTTGTCTTCGTCATTCTCAACAAAAACTCAACATTCTCTGCTTTTGCTGCTTCAATCATTGCTCCTCCAATCATACGCCTCTCTTCTTCGTTCAAAAACATCAGGTTCTCATAAACTAGGTTTAGAATTTCAGCTGCTTGGGCATACTGCAGCTTCATCTCATATATTTCCTTCATTATTCCTGCACCACTGGTAACTCAAACACAGCTTCATGTTTTAATCATGAGAACTCAAACACACAGATGGTTTGTTTGTGTGGATATACAAGTTACTGTTCGCTCCGCAAGTGCACGAGTTGTGACAAGTAATAAAGTGATAAGTAGAGTATCGTTCCCACGAGGATTTGGTTTCAAAACCCGGTCAAGTATCAATTATCACATTTTCACTTAATTTGAAATACAAATAT